TAGTTCAATGTTTAGTTCAATGTTTTTAATGGAAACTAAGATGCAAACACGTTTTAATTTTGTAAGTGTAAGTTCTAGATGTGTGTAGCACCTTCCACTCTGCATATCAGAGGGGGTTGTAATCAATAACTGGTATTTTGGTCAGTTTCTCACACATGTATGGTTTTGAAGATTTGGAATATAGACTGAGTCATATTATGATACTTTTGATATGATAGCCTACTTTTATGGGGCTTTTTTTTTTCATTTTGCAGCTTGACAGGTCTAGTTCCTTTCACTTTCATTAAAAGAGGTGTGCAGAATATCTTTTAAAAATTGTTTCACTGAAGGAAGAAAGTTACACAGGTTTAGAACTAGGGTTGTCACAGTACCAAACTTTCAGTAGTCGGTAGGTACCAATATACCAGTCTCAATACCAGTTCTCAGTACCAGTTTTGGTACCATAGCAAAAACTATTTGAACTATTTGGTTTAAAAATTATTTTGTTCAATATGAATGGCTTATATATAGAAAGCAAGCAAAGAATGCTCCTTTTAATAAATATGCATGGAGCCAGGGTTTTTGCTACAAAACCCAATGGCCAAGGTCAAAGTTTATTTATACAGCGATAGATGACCAATGTGCTTTACACTACATCATAAAACATAAAACAAAACATAGGAAAAGGACAAAAAAAAAAACATAACAGACACACATCATAAATGAAAGGCATGTGAGTATATATCAGCATCTAATGATCAATAAATACCAGAGAGAATAAATAGGTTTTTAACAAAGACTTAAAAAGAGGAAGGGAGGGTGCGGGTCTAATCTGGAAAGACAAGCTGTTCCAAAGTTTAGGGACCACAACAGAAAATGCACAATGTCCCCTTTGCTGTAATCTGAATCTAGGGACAACTAAAAGGTTTTTTTTGTGTGTCCCAGATCTGAAAGGGACTAATAGAATGTAGTAAAGCACCAGATTATTCAAACATTTACAAACAAATAGAAGGATTTTAATATCAACTCTAAAACCAACCAGCAACTAATGAAGTGATGATAAAATTGCAGTGATCGTCATGTTTTTGCATAGACATTTATACACAAAGAGGATACGCAGAGAGAATTATCTCGATAAAAAAAAAAAAAAAAGGTTTTATTTTTATTTAGCTTTAAAAAGTTAGCGGACATCCATATTGGAATATCGTTTAAGCAAGCCAGCAAATGCTAAAGTGAATTATTTCCAGAGTGTTTGAGTGGGACATAAATCTAGGTGTCGTCTGCGTAACAATGGAATAATACATCATGTTTCCTAAAAATGGAGCCCAAAGGGAGCATATAAAGAAAAAAGGGTGGAGCCCTGAGGGACCCAGAGGACTCAGATGAGCCAAAACTGACAGTGAATTTACAATATTTCAAAAAGGAGCTGAACCAGTTTTATACAGTTCCCTTCAAACCAGGTTCAATTTGAGAAATATGAATATCATGGTCCACCATGTCGAATGCAGAACTGAGGTCACCAGCATCCGTTGTCAATGTCAAATAAATATAATTGAGATTTGGTACTGTGAAATGCTCTGAAGCCAGACTGAAACCTCGCATAGATAGAATTTAGGTTAAGATAAGAATGAAGTTGACATAACACAACTTTTTCGAGAACTTTGAAGATGAAAGGTAAATTAGAAATGGGCTTATTGTATTTTTTAAGTAGCAGAATCAAGATTTGGTTTCATAAGAGATGAAACTATAGCATGTTTAAGGTCACTTGGAAAAGTCCCCAGACTGAGTGATTTATTAAAATTATTGATTAGTCGCTCTCCATCTCTTTCTCTGTTTCTCTCTTTGTGAGTGTGGTACATCTTGGTCTGTACTATTCTAAAATATTCTGGTTTAGAGTCCTCAGGCAATTGGACTGTGAACATTGCATCAGCACTTCAGACGTGATAGCCTCATTCATAAAAAATCTATTAAAGGCACACAAAATGGGAGAGTTTGGCCTTTCGATGCAGCGGAATTTTGTAATCAGAGCCCCAAAGGTTCAACCAAAATAATTTATTCACCCTCTTCCAAAGCTGTATGACGTTATGTGGAACAAAAACAAGGAGTTATGTTATATATTTAGAAACAAGCTGCATGGTGCAAAACTCTAAGTGAGTCTGCATCAGTATTGATTCCGCCAATCAGAAGGGTTCACATGAACTGTTGTATGGATGCGCCGTACACTCTCATGTGCGCTGCAGTTCCTATACAGAACAGGGAAGATTTGCAGCATGTCAAGGGAAGTAGGCAGGATTGATCGACCCTGTACTCTTTTAAAATGTCAAATGCTCTTTCTCTTTCCCCCAGAGGCTTATTCTATTGGAGCTGTAAAACTGCAGTAACACTAACATTGTCACCATAACAAAAATGTTGTGTATTCATGTTTTATGGGGAGTTTCCACAGACATAATGATTTGTATACTGTACAAATTGTATCTTCTATCCCCTTACACTAACCATACCCCTTTACCTACCCATCACAGAAAACAATCTGCATTTTTACATTTTCAAAAAACCATCACTTAGCATGATTTATAAGCTGTTTTCCTTAAAAAAAAATTCCCCACAAGGACATGGATTTCGGATATTGCCATCTTTGGGGGGACTTTTTGTCCCCCCACCCTCCTCACACCTTGCACTTAAACACAACACAACACTTACACCTTGCCATGTGCTTGACTGACCTTGTCACTCAAGGTTGCTACTGTAACAACAAAACAGCTTCTGACTGAGCGTACGGGCAACAATATTTCTTCCTGCAGTGTTCTCTACATTTTTTTTCTGGCAATAAGTTTATGATGGAAGATCTGGATACAGAATGTGCCATACAGCTTACATAGACAATTTTGCACCTTGCATTAATGAGTGTGTAAGATATTAGTTTGTAGAAATAGTGCATATTAGTAATAGTGCATATAGTGCATCACACTAATTATCATCTCTAAGGTTTAGCCAAAGGGTTTTTTCTTTATTTTTTTCTTCACATCGCCCCTAATAAAACTAAGTAATAAAACTAAAATGTTTTATTACTTCAGAATAGTACAGGTTCTATACATATTCTTTCCTACTCTGCTTTGATAAGATTCGATTAAAGATTCTATACTATTGTGTTAAGTTGTCATGTTGTTCTGCTAAAGACCTTATTCTATTCCATATTCTATTCTTTTTTTGTTACGTTTTAATTATTCTAGCCTGTTTTTATTCTATTCAAGATTCCATTCCAATTTTTTTAGAGAAGAACAGAATAGTATCTATGCAAACTATTCTATTCTGTTCGATAGAAATGCCATTCTCTATTGAGCCAAAATTCTACTATTCAATGTTCTGCTAAACATTTTTATTTTTTCGAATTAAAATTATATATATTCTATTAAAAATGATATTCCACTTTGATGTATCCTTATAAATAATCTATTCTACTCTATTAAACATTATTTTTATTGGGTTTAAACTATTCTTCTCTTTAGATATTTTAGCTTCTAGTTTATTAAAGATTTTACTCTATTCTGTTATTCTGTTCTACTTGGTAAAATATTCTATTGTATTCTGCTAAAGCATAAGTATATTGTATTGCAATGTTTCTAACAAAACTTTTAGCAGTTCCTTTGGGGGGGAAAGATTATATTGTTGTCTGCTACTATATTTTACTTGCACAGCCTAAGATAACAACACTAAGATAAAGTCAGTGCACACAAGTACAAAGTATTTGAGTCACCGCTTCCTTTCACAGCTTTAGCGCTCTCTGGGTTTATTTCCATACTGTGTTGCTATAGTGGTCTAGAGAGAGCGTTTTAGATTCTATACGGTCTCTCCAAATCTTCAATATCCTCTTTAAATTAACTTCCTACTCCCCTGTGTATAGGAAGAGTATCTATCAGTGAGGAAGATCTAATGAAGGAGTGGAGAGATAGCGGGGTTCAGCCAGGTTCAGTAACAGCAGATAAACAGCCACTGCTTGGTTACAGCATCTCCACGGGCTCCGGCGGCACAGAGATCAACCATGCAGTGCTTTTTCTGCTGACACTCGAGAAAAAAAAGAGATAAGAGAGATGAAAGAGAGTAAAGAATACCACTGGCAAACAAAGTGCCCAGACTCTTTTTTAAAGGAAAAAATGTGATAAAAGGATGATTTTCTAAGACCTAAAGGAGGTGGAAATGTGTGCTGATGAAAGAATCCAGGTGAAGCATAAAAGAGTGAGTCAATGAAACTCCATCCTAACATTGGCGTATTTTTCTATTTGGCGCTATTATACAAGCTAAAAAAAAATAGACAAAAACATTATAAATGAATACAGGTAGACACTTAACACATTTCTGTGGTTGGTGTTGTTTTAAAATATGATTCTAAATTGCTCCTATCCCATAAATAATACCATTTTCAATAGCAAAATTATTCTCTACAAACAGAGGAAAAAGGAAGAAATCTTTTAAAAAAAAATCTTTGCATTACATATTTTACAATAAATAAAATATTAAAAACATTATATTGAAAATAATATTAACATAAAATCTTAAATATACTATAAACAAAAATATCATATAATGTAAAATAATTTTTGTATATAGGCCTAGTAAATATAATAGCAATATTAATGACAAATTCTTTCTAATAAATACAATATTAAAGTTTATACTGAATATAATGACTAAAATTACGAATAAAATATTGAATATAATATAAAAAAACTATAAATATAACATTAAAATACAATTTTATTGTGAATATAATAGCAATATTAATGACAAATTCTTACTAATAAATACAATATTAAAGTGTATGTTAATGACTAATATTACAAATAAAATATTGCATATAACATTAAAAATAAATACTTAAAAAATCATATAGAATCTAATATTACAGTAAAGTCTTTATATTAAATATAATATAAAAAGCAAAAACTTTGTTTGTCCCAACTAACCTTTACTCAACCTTTCAAAACAAGCTTGTTTCCCTTTTTCTTTTAATGAAGGCGTCTTACCTTTACTGAGGGTTCCTGAGACAAGCCTCTGAAGGGACTGAATGAGCTTTAGCACCCCCTGTCTGCAGCGGCTGGTACAGCCAGCCATGATGAGAGAGAACCCGAGGGTGCACAGAAAGCCCCTGCAACAGCCCAAACACAGCACAGAGCTGCTTTCACCAGCGGTGCTCACAGACGAGGCGCACGTCCCATACGAGCCTCTCTGTGGACTCCAGAGTGCTTCTCACGTCACAGTCTCCCACGTTTAGTCCCACAAGAGCTGCGCTTTAACCAATGGGTACCAAGTCCGAGAATGAGATGACCAGGATGCCCTCCGTCCAGACAACACACACAGCTTTCGCCCACTCTCACTCACACAAACACACACAAGACGCTCACAAAGTGCCTGAACCTGTTTTTCCTCTGCCTCTGTGCCAACTGTTTAAAAGGAGAGTTGCTGAAACAGCCGAGTGCTGATGTGCAAAAGTTCGAGAAGGAAAAGTTGGTGAGCGCTGCAGGCTCAAAGCTCAGAGACCGACCCGATGAATTATTAAGCGGATGGCAAGAGCCCGCTGCTGTGCTACACGAACTAAGAACTGCTCGAAGGAAGTGGAGTGTCCATGGAGACAAAAGAGTGGCTTTCCTTTTCTTTCACGCTGCTTCTGGTTACGCCTCTGTCTCTCTCTTCCTCTGGTTGTATGTGTGTGTGAGAGTGTGGTGTGTGTTGTGGCTAAAAGTCGTTGGTCTGCTGCAGTGTTTCCGACTGCTCTGTGCTGCTGGACAGATCCCTGCAGCATAAAATAAGAGACAAGTGCTCTCTCTCTCTCTCTCTCTCTCTCTCTCTCTCTCTCTCTCTCTCTCTCTCTCTCTCTCTCTCTCTCTCTCTCTCTCTCTCTCTCTCTCTCTCTCTCTCTCTCTCTCTCTCTCTCTCTCTCTCTCTCTCACAGAAAGCATTTCTTGCACACCTCTCTCACTCTCGCTTTGTCATAGTTAAAATATAGTAGAATAGATAGAATGGATCATTAAAGATAATCTATAATAAACTATTTATCTTTCGCTGTATTCTATTCTATTAGTTTATGTTCCATTCTATTCTATAATTTTCAATTATATTCTACTCTATTCTGTTGAAGATTATATTTCATTACAAACTATTTTTCCATTAGTGTCTATTATATTAAAGGGGGACCTATTATGCAAAATTCAATTTAACATGGTGTTTGAACATAAATGTGTGTCGGCAGTGTGTGTACACAACCATAATGATAAAAATGCACCCATTCGTCTTTGTTTAAAGGGGTCATATAATGCCATTTTTGTACAAGCTAATATGATTCTTTAGGGTCTAAATTAAAAGTTTGTAATATACTTTAATTAAAAATTCTCATTAGTATTGTAAGAAAACACTTATTTTACCTGGTCAAAAACAGCTCTGTTTCAGCACGCCGTTTCAGTGCATATGACTTTAAATGATAATGAGCTTTGCTCTCCCCGCCTCTCTGTTCTGTGCGTACACCGTTTGTAACACAATAACACAATAACCATAACGCGTTGTTCATTATAGACGTGGGATTATGAATTATATTGAGAACGTCGTACATAGAAAACATGCCGTAATGTACCCTGAGTGTAAACCTTAGCCGCATTCATCGTGAAGCGTGCAAGCGATTTGCAAATATTAATATAAAGTTTAATAAAACGTTACACTCACTTCAGTTCTTCTGGAGGTTCAGCAGGAACACGAATAGCTGGTACCGATCCTTTTTTCATGAGCAGCTTCTTAGCAAAACCAGCTTTATACTGACCCTCGTTTATAAAGCAGTCTGCTGAGAAATGATTCGCGCAAACATGAAAGCATTGACGTTGCTCGTGGGGAATATTCCCTTCGAAAACAAACTCAGCCACTGCGTCTTCAGCGGTTCGGATTTAGGAACATTAAAATGACTGCTGTGTTCCTTATTGCACCCAAGAACAGAACACCACAATCGCTTAGACGCCATTCTGCTCATAGACAGTGCTCCAGCATATCAACAATGACCGCGCCGGTCCGCACGGACTATGATTGACAGCTCGCTCACGAGCGAGGGCGGGTCTGTGTTGAAACGCTGCTGTCAATCAACAATCGTGGGAGGGGCGTCCGAGCGTGTGACGTCACACGGTCGAACCATAGGGGTCGAACGGGTTGATTTGAGGCAGGGGAAAACATACAAGGAGATTAAAACAAAAACACTGGATGGATTTTTATCATTATATAATGGTTGTGTACAGGCACTGCCAACACACATTTCAGTACAATCAACTTGTAAAAGTGCATGTACCATTATATGACCCCTTTAATCCCCATAAATCATGTCTCAGAACAAGCGTTTGCAGATTGTAGCTTTTGTGATGTCACAAATGCTTAGGCTCTGCCCATGACTGCTGACAGACTCTGCCCTATTAGTATAGACCCGCCCCGAGTGAGCTGTACACAGTCCCACATGTTTATCTTCTCGCCACAGCATTTAACAGCAGCATTCAAGTAAGAAATGAATTCTTATTAAAGCTATAATAAAGTTATTCAATCAAGACCAGTGAGGGACTTTCTGTTTTTTCTTTTGTTGTTTGATTCATATTATCAGCATATATTAGCCTGGGAAAACCCAGACAACTTCCGGCAAATTTGGATTTGCTCTGAAAGTTAGTCTGGCAAAGAGCTCATTCAAGCCCATTTCCAATCCGTCGAAATCGAGGCACCAATCAGAAACGTTGGGGCGGGTTTACACGATGGCGACAGCGCTGGGATTTTGAAGCAGATTTTGTAGCCTACATTACAAAGATGGATGCCGCCGTCGAACATCACTCATTCGAATCAGCTATCGCGTCTGTTTTAAGCGATTTGAACGTTTCCTTTTTGTTAAAAACCGAGCAAAGAACAACACTCTGAGATGTCTCTCATACGTCATCTCCTTCATCGCTCTGATTGGTTTTAGGTCTATCCGCGATGTCCGTTCACTGTAAAAAGTAATACCTAGATCTAACTTATAAAAAGTGAGGCAAGTGGCTGCATTGGATGTTTTATGTTGATTCAACTTGCAGCCTTTTTTAAGTATATTGAACACTTTAACATTACTTTATACAAACGCAATAAAATCAAGTTGAGTTAACTAATAGTACTAGTATTACTCCGTTAGATAAACCTACTTTTCTTGGTACAGGTAACTTATTTATGGGTTGCTACAAGTAACCTGTACTCATTTTAATTAGGTTTTATGAACTTTATTTTCTTAGTAAAATTAAATTAATCATATGTGAATAAACATTTTAATATATATTTTTTAATTGTCAATAACAATTACAAATTCAATTGAACAAGAAAAAGATGAGAAGATAGATTGAAGACAATATTCAATTTATTCAATGTCAACCAGTGTCACTTTTAACAGTGACTACAAAACAGCAGATAAATGTGGCCGCACATGTACACTCTAATATAAAACAAACACTGTAGAAGTGTATTTTCAACCTGTTCTGAACAGTACAGTGAAATATCCAAACTGCCCAATCTGAAATGTTTGGATCAAGGTAAATGTGAGCCATAACATCACATTGTATCACACTGGAACTGCAATGTCAAAAATGACATGATGATGGTTTAGGACGCACAGGGTCCAATCCTACAAAAAGCCTCTGATATATCTCAAGTATACACCAGTTTTGAGGGATACTTGAAGTCGAGAGCATAGGTAAGTTCAAACAGGAGGCAGCATGCTTTCGACAGGTTTGGCACACCTCTGACCACGGGCTGTCCTTATATGATAATCCCAATCGTGTCGGGGTGATGGCACATGTACATTTTCAGTGGGCAACTCCCAAGCTCAGCGTGCACCTCTGTTTCAGCCCGACTCTATTGGTGGAGACAAAAAAGAAACAAGAGTTTGGTCAGACAAATAGGAAATGAGATGAATATAGCAGACAGGTAGAAGAGATAAGACACAAAGTCCAAATTGTACTTTTGTTGCTAAAGGTGGTGGATACAAGATGGATACTGTGACTAGAACATGTGACCAGAGTGAAGTCTACCATGACAATGCCATAGAGTGTGGGTACTAAAATATCATGATCTACTCTAGCATTAGTGTTGTATTTTTCTGGTTCAAAGCATTCATTACAATAAAACAAATGCAATTGTCCTTGCCTGTACCTGATTGGTCATCACATTACTGTTAATTAAGCTACAGAGTTTAAATATCTTTCAAGAGCAAACGTAATCACCCCATATCATCACAATATTAATAAACCCACTAAGCAAAATTATGTCCAAAAGACATCTTTTCAACGTCTTTGTCACAATGACGTACATTGAAAAGACGTCCACTGAGGAGCCAGAATGAAAGTTTTTACGACTTTTTTTGAGGTGTTCTGTAATGAAACTAGTTCAGATGTGGACAATGTGGACAATTTTCAACATCATTTAAGGTCTCATTTGGACAATTTATACTTATTCTAGACCAAATAAACACTCTCAGGATATATTAAATTAAAACTCACATTTATTTCAATGTAATTTCCATGTGTAATTGCAAAGCAATTCACAGACAGTGAAGTTTCTTTTCATGATTTTTGGACAAACACGCACTGACACCTTTAGACAGCTTAGCATCTGTAGTTTATATATTTGGATCGTGAGAGAAATCAGATTCGAACCAGGGACCTTAAGCTGCCTGCCCTAAGTAGACAGTAATGATTTCATGATTTTTGGACAAACACACACTGTCTGTGAGTTGCTTTGCAATTAGAAATTACGTTGAAATAAACATGAGTTTTAATTTAATGCATCCTGAAAGTGTTTATTTGGTCCAGAAACAGTTTAAATTGTCTAAATGAGACATTAAATTACATAAAATATGTCCACATCTGAACTAGTTTTTAACCTTGTATGGAGGTTCCCTGAACGTCTATTGGACTTACAGAACACGTATAATCTGATCAAATTGTAATTGAATCTATTCTGAAGTTTGTCTTACCTGGATGTGAAGCTCGAAGACCCCAGGTAACAAAAGTGCTTGGGTATCTAAAGACCAGGAAAATGTTAGATGTTAGAAATAAGGTTAAAAAATCAGTTGTAAATGTAACTTCTTTAAGTAATAGGTTAGAAATAGTTTAAAAATCTAGACCAAAAATCTGTCATTAATTGACTATGCAGCATTAAAATAACGTGGATCAAATCTCTAAAATCAGACAGACTACTAAACATACATCTCTACAGTCTAATCTGTGCATCTGCTTTAGTAATGCAAAAGTATAATAACATAATCTCGGAGTCCTGTCAAAGACACACAACACACAAAACAAAGTGTTGTCCATAAAACACCACATCTTACTTTCCCTTATTTACCCGCACAACTATTGCCTGAAGGCTCGAAATTGCGACCGTTTCGATCGCATATGATCCCAAAATTTAATCTGTGCAATCTAAAAATATAACTGAGGACATTTGTGCAACTAATTATTACATACGTAACTTGTATGTGTTTTTAAACACTGCTGTTGTCTGCCGATCGACCACACTGTGCAGCCATCTTAGCTTACCATGTGTGCAGGATAGCTAGCTATACAATTAGCAAACCTAACCTCAGCTCCCTAGTGGAGTAAGCGATTTTGCGTGACTTTAGTTTACATCACCAGTCATTCGGCTAAATTTGCTCAACTTACCGTGTTAATCAGACCCTGAAATTCAGATCCGCTGCAGCGACCAAACAGTTGAAGTGCCGAGGAAGATATTGCATCTGCCTGGAGTCCCCGCCA